TCACTACACACCACCATTTAATTATTTCCCCCAAATTATTTTCACTACCCCCTACCACCACACCCCACTACCCACCCTCCCCACTACACTACCCCCCCCCTCACCACACTACCACCCCTCACTACAAAACCACCATCACAACACTCCAACCAATCACTACCCCCTAACCACCCATTCACTAAAACTTTCACACCCATCATACCCCTACCCCATCACCACACTACCACCATCACACACTACCCCCTTTCCCACACTTTCCACCAACACCCCACTACCACCCTCAAACCCCTACCACCATCACTACACCCCCAACCCTCACTAAATACCACCAAACACCACCCCTACCACCATTTACTACACTACCACCAAAAACCCAAAAAAATACCCCCATCACTACCCCCACCAAACCCTCACTACACTACCACCATCACTACCAAACCCCCAAACACTACATACCACCATCACTTTCACTTCCCCCCATCACTACACTACCAAACCCTCAAAACCCCCTCCACCATCCCCTACTTTCCCCATCAAACACTACCACCATTTATAACACTTAAAACCCACCATCCCCTACACTAAACCCCCATCACACACTACCAAACCCTCACTACAAAACCACACCATCCCCTACACAACCACCATCAAATAAAAACTACCAAAAAAAACTACAAATACCACCATCCAAATACACTACCACCTCACCCACACTTCCACCATTTACACCTACCCCCCACACTAACTACCCCCATCACTACACTACCACATCAATACACTCCCCCCATCACTTTAAAACCCCAAAACCACCATCACTACACCACCCCCATCACTACAAATTCCACCAAACACTACACTCCATTTATTTACCACTACCACCATTTACTTCACTACCACCATCCCCTTTTTCTACCAAACCTCACTACACTACCACCATCAAATAAAACTCCCCCATCACTACACTACCCCCAAACAACACAAAACCACCATCAAACACTACCACCCATTCCCACACTTTCCCCCATCACACAATACCACCAATTAAATTTCACTACCACCATCAACACTACCACCACCACCACCCCTCCCCCACTACCACCCTTTACTAAAAACCCCACCACCTTTAAATACAAATACCCCCAAAACCCCTACCCCAAACTAACCCCACCATCAAACACAAAAAAACTAATTTTTAAATTTTTAATTAAACCGGACCATAATACAAACTAAAACCCCCAAACTACCACTACCCTTTTTTCACTACCCCTTTTAAAAATTTCCTTTTCAATTTCCCCCAAAATACATTTTTCCCCCATCACTTAAAAAACCAAAAAACAACACTACCCCAACTACACTTTTAAAAATCACTTAAACTTCCCAATTTTTTACCCCTTACCACCTTTACTTAAACAACCAATTTTCACTTAACCAAAATACACTTAACCATCACCTTTACACTACCCCCAAACAGTCAAAACAAACAGGTAAATTTTTAACTTAAAAAAAATTTTAAAACAGTACTTTTTAATTTTTCAAATTCTTTAAAAACCCCCTTTAAAAACTATCCCTTTAAAAATAAATCATTTTTAAAAACCAGCCACTTTAAACTAGCCTTTAGACAATAGCCTTTAAAACCCAGTCAATTTAAAAACTATTTACTTGGGACTAGTTACTTTAGACACTATCCCTTTGGGGATAGTCATTTTTGACTAGTCACTTTTAGAGACTTTCCCCCCTTTGAACTGTCACTTTAAATAGCCCCTTGGAACTATTAAATTGGGAGGAATACCCCTTTAGGACAAATTAATCACTTTGGATTTAGTCACATTTTTTGGCACTAGACAAAAAATTTTTGGGGGCAAAAGGGCACCTTTTGAGAAATTTTGCACTGAAGAACAAAATCAATTTAAAACACCAAATCCCCAGAGACTAGGCAACCCTTTTTTCACTAAACCTTTAGGTGCCCCTTTCCCACGGAAAACTAGTTCTTTTGACACTAGCCCCTTAGCTAGTTATTTTGAAATAGTCACTTTAGACAGTTGTCACTTCACAGACTAGTCACTTTAGACACTAGTCACTTCAGAGACAAGTCACTTTAGACACTAGTCAGTTTAGACAATAGTCACCAGTCACTTTAGACACTAGTCACTTTAGACACTAGTAATTTCAGAGACTAGTCACTTTAGACATTAGTCATTGAGATACTTAGTCACTGAGAAATAGAGGCGCGGTCGCCAGACACAAGGAGTCACTACCAGCTCTTGTTCAACACTCTACCCAGGAAATCCTGCTGCATGAAGGTCCTCACTGAGATGGCTGGCTGGCTGGCTGGCTGGCTGGCTGGCTGGCTGGCTGGCTGGCTGGCTGGCTGGCTGGCTGGCTGACTGGCTGGCTGAATGACTGGGTAGGCCGCGGGCTAGCTGGCTGACTGGATAAGTGGCTGGTTGAATGACCCACTGAGTGGGCAGCTGGGCTTGGTGGCTGAATGTCTAGCTGGCTGCCTGGGTAAGTGGCTGGCTGCCTGGGTAAGTGGCTGGCTGGCTGAGTGGCTGGCTGGCTGAGTGGGTAACCTGAACCTGGTTTAATGTTAGCTCACACATTTAGGTCTGTGGTTCGATCCCCGGTACGTGTGTTTGTGTTTCCTTAAGACACCTGCTGTCCCTGTTCACCTAACAGTAAACAGGTACCTGGGTATTAGTGGACTGGTGTGGGTGGCGTCCTGGGGACAAAATTAACCTAAGTTGCGGAAAACACATCAGTCTTTAACCATTATAGATGTCATTACGGTGTTGGGCAGGATAATAACTGTACAATGGGGATACACCAATACATGACTGTATTAAGGCCACTGTGTACACACACACATATGAGTCAAAGGGATGTTAGGAAGTATTTCTTCAGCCACAGAGTTAGTTGCCAGGAAGTGGAATAGTCTTTAGAGTGATGTAGTGGAGGCAGGATCCATACATAGCTTTAAGAAGAGGTATGATAAGATAAATAACAGTGGACAGGTGAGTGGTGGAACAACAGGTGACAGCCTTCACTGCTTCCTGCCCAGGAAGAGGTATTAACCTGGTGTTTTATCTGTCAGCAAACAGGACACTTTATCCATCATTTAAATATTCAGATATTTTATTTATTTTGAGTTAGGTTAGGCTGTGTTACGTGTATCTATCCTTCTACTGCTTCTTCAGTTACAATCCCATCCTATTATTATTATTATATTAAAAAAACCACAGGGTAAATTTCCATTTACCTGGAGTTTACCTGGAGAGGGTTTCGGGGGTCAACGCCTCCGCGCCCGGTCCTGAGACCATGCCTCATGGTTGATTCAGGGGTCTGATAACCAGCTGTTATGCGGGGCCGCAGCAAGCTAATGTACGAACCACGCCCGGTTGTGGTTACTGCTTTAGGTGGCGCCAGTGCTTTTGACAGTCAGGGGTTTTGATCCCCCATGTTCGCGAGGAGTTTCTTGGAGACACTAGTGTTGTCTCTCAGTGATCGGCCCGCTTTTCATCTGGAGGATTTCACTAGTCTTTTGCTTTCAAGGATATTCGTGTGCAAGTTTTACAGTCGTATCAGGCCATCCGGTTATTATCATTATCTCCGTGCCTGTGTAGGTATTACAGATCATATGACTCATCCTTCCCAGAGTTTATGTGCCCTTCGATACTGGAGGTTTTTCGGTGTCAACGCCCCGCGGCCGGCCCGTCCAGGACCTGGTAAGGGTATAATACAGTATCACATGCGTCTACCTAGTGATACCCCAAAATGATCAAGCCACCTAGTGTTCGGTCAGTCACTGCTCTAGGACCCGCTATGCTGTACATACTTCAGGATATTACGGTGATCGACGCCCTCGTTCCAGTGAGGACAGTTGTACAGGTATTGGGCCTGATGTACGTGGTTTCCATGGTGCCTCGTGAGGGACCAGACCTTCTTCTCATACGTTATTGATGAGGGTATGTTGCGAAGGCTCCCTCTTGTGGTCGTGGTTCATGGTGGTGGTGAGAGGTGGTGTGTGTGCAGTGGTTGCTGGTAGAGATAGTGATGGTGTTTTAGTTGTGGTGTTGGTGATCTTTGTATGTTGGTATTGTTTGTGTGTAGGTGATGGTGTGATTGTGAGATGGATGGGTTATTGTGATGGCTGCTTGTGGTATGACTGGTTTGGATGATCTTTGATGCTACTGTTATATGATGGTGTGTTGTGATGGTGTGTGATGGTATGCCTGTGATAGCGATGGGTCTGCTTGTGATGGTGGTGAGGGTGTGCTTGAGATGGTGGTGGTGGCTGTGATGGTGGGGTATGGGGGGTGCGTGATGTATGATGGTGGTGGTGTGATGGGTAGTGAGGGTAGTTGTATGTAGGTGATTGGTTGGTTTTGATGGTAGGGGATGGGTGTTCTTGTTATGGTGGTGATGGGTGTGGCATTGAGATGTGGGTGATGGGTGTGCTTGTGATGGTGCGTGATAGGGTTGCTTGTGATGGTAGTGATGGTGTGGCTGTGGGTATATAGGTGTGATGGATGGAGGGAGGGTGTCTTGTGATGGTAGGTGATGGGTGTGTTGTGATTAGGTGTGGTGTGATGTGAGTGGTGATGGGTGGCTTGTGATGGTAGTGATGGTGGTTGTGATGGTAGGTGATGGATGGCTTGTGATGGTGTGGTGATGGGTGTGCTTGTGATGATGGTGATGGGTGTGCTTGTGATGGTAGTGATGGGTGTTCTTGTGATGGTGGGTGATGGTGTGCTTGTGATGTGGGTGATGGGGTGTGCTTGTGATGTTAGGTGATGGGTTGTTGGATGGTGGTGATGGTTGTGCTGTGAGGTGTGTGGGTGTGCTTGTGATTGGGTGATGGGTGTGCTTGGATGGTGGGTGATGGGTTGTGCTTGATGATGGTAGGTGATGGGTGTGCTTGTGATGGTGGTGAGGGGTGTGCTTGTGTTGGTAAGGTGTGATGGGTTGTGCTTGTGATGGTGGTGATGGGTGTGCTTTGATGGTAGGTGATGGGTGTGCTTGTGATGGTAGGTGATGGGTGTGCTTGTGATGGTGGGTGATGGGTGTGCTTGTGATGGTGGGTGATGGGTGTGCTTAAGATGGTAGGTGATGGGTGTGCTTGTGATGGTAGGTGGATGGGTTATGCTTGTGATGGGTGGTGGGGTGTGCTTGTATGGTGGTGATGGGTGTGCTTGTGAGGTAGTGATGGTTGCTTGTGATGGTAGGTGCTGGGTGTGTTGTGATGTGGGTGATGGGTGTGCTTGTAATGATAGGTGATGGGTTTGCTTATGATGGTAGGTGATGGGTTTCTTGTGATGGTGGGTGATGGTGGTGCTTGTGAGGTTGGTGATGGGTGTGCTTGTGATGTAGGTGATGGGTGTGCTTGTGATGGTAGGTGATGGGTGTGCTTGTGATGGTGGGTGTGGGTGTGCTTGTGATGGTAGGTGATGGGTGGCTTATGATGGTAGGTGATGGGTGTGCTTGTGATGGTAGGTGATGGGTGTGCTTGGATGGTGGGTGATGGTGTGCTTTGGTGGTGGGTGATGGGTGTGTGCTGTGATGGTACGTGATGGTTTGATGTGATGGGTGAAGTGTGCTTGTGATGGTAGGTGATTGGGTGTGCTTGTGATGGTAGGTGATGGGTGTGCTTGTGATGGTAGGTGATGGGGTGGCTTGTGATGGTAGGTGATGGGTTGTGCTTGTGATGGTAGGTGATGGGTGTGCTTGTGAGGTAGGTGATGGTGTGCTTGTGATGGTGGGTGATGGGTTGCTTGTATGATAGGTTGATGGGTGTGCTTGATGATGGTAGGTGATGGTGTTCTTGTGATGGTGGGTGATGGGTGTGCTTGTGATTGGTGGGTGATGGGTGTGCTTGTGAGGTAGGATGGTATGCTTGTGTGTAGGTGTAGGTGTGCTTGTGATGGTAGGTGATGGGTGTGCTTGTGATGGTGGGTGATGGGTGTGCTTGTGATGGTGGGTGATGGGTGTGCTTATGATGGTAGGTGATGGGTGTGCTTGTGATGTAGGTGATGGGTGTGCTTGTGATTGGGTGGGTGTGGGCTGTGCTTGTGAATGGTAGGTGAATGGGTGGTGCTTATGATGGTAGGTGATGGGTGTGCTTGTGATGGTAGGTGATGGGTAGTGCTTGTGATGGTGGGTGATGGGTGTGCTTGTGATGGTGGTGATGGGTGTGCTTATGATGGTAGGTGATGGGTGTGCTTGTGATGGTAGGTTGATGGGTGTGCTTGTGATGGCGGTGATGGGTGTGTGCTTGTGATGGTGGGTGATGGGTGTGCTTATGATGGTAGGTGATGGGTGTGCTTGTGATGGTAGGTGATGGGTGTGCTTGTGATGTGGGTGATGGGTGTGCTTGTATGATAGGTGATGGGTGTGCTTATGATGGTAGGTGATGGGTGTTCTTGTGATGGTGGGTGATGGGTGTGCTTGTGATGGTAGGTGATGGGTGTGCTTGTGTGGTAGGTGATGGGGTGTGCTTGTGATGGTAGGTGATGGGTGTGCTTGTGATGGTAGGTGATGGGTGTGCTTGTGATGGTAGGTGATGGGTGTGCTTGTGATGGTAGGTGATGGGTGTGCTTGTGATGGTAGGTGATGGGTGTGCTTGTGATGGTAGGTGATGGGTGTGCTTGTGATGGTAGGTGATGGGTGTGGCTACGAGTGACCTAATTATTCTTTACCTAACCTAACATTACTGCCACATAAACATGTAAGTACATATATACAAACTTTCTGGCAGTATTCAGTGATTGATAAATACAACTAAACAATCCACCGTCATATTATATACACTAACATGTTAATTTTTGTGGAGTACAAATATTTAACGCCTCGTAGTGAGGCAGATTACAAATTGTGTTATATTTTGTGTGTAGCTATTAAGTGTTCTTTAATTATGAGATGTGAAGAAGTGTGATATGTATATGGAGAGAGAGAGAGAGAGAGAGAGTGAGAGAGAGTAAAGAGGAGAGAGAGAGAGAAGAGAGAGAGAGAGAGAGAGAGAGAGAGAGAGACTGGGGATGGGGGGGATAGATATGACACTAGGTGTACAGACAAACAGGCAGTGTCAGGTGTATCATAATTAATACATTGCAAGTGTCATCTTGCTACATTTCTCAGGACGAAGCATCTCTCAACTGTAGCAGTCCAGCTGTCGTACTGTATCTCAGTCAATATTCTCTAAGCACCAACCTATTCACAAGGAATATCTCACCCTAGAAACAGTTCACCTTTCACGTTTACATATTAAAATCACTAATTCCCCAAAAAAAACACTTCACAAATTGCCTCTAGCACCGCCACTTTTCACTCGGCTAACACAACTCAAGTTGGGATGTTTTCCGATATGCAAATTTTGTTTCCGGCCTGTGCTGTGAATCAAGTGTGAGGTGGAGACTGTGGAAGACTGGCTGAACCACAACACCAGCTTACTGAAATGATAAATAAGACGAGGGTAACAGGGAAGGAGACTCGGGGTGGTTGCTGTGGATCCAGTACACTAATCTTATAGGTTCGTTCAGGGACGAAGTTCAACATCTTCGGCCATCAGCCTCAACTGGCGTGAAAATCCGCCCATAGCACCATAATTTTAGTGGTTTAGTAGTAATTTGGTAGCTCTGGGAGTCCATGGGAGAATGTTGGTTCAGAAAAAACAGTTGAAAAGTCCGAGGAACTAGAAATGAAGTGACCAAAAAGGTGAATGAAAAGGATGAAGGTAAGTAACACACACAGCAGCACCACTCACAACAGGAACACAGATAAGATAACACTATCAAGTCCTTAGCTAACCTTATAGATAAGTTAACCCAGCTGCCCACCACCATGGAAACACCATTCTCCCCTCAAATAAAACCACTATATACAAATAATCGCAATTGAAATCAATAATTTTAACCCATGCAACAAGTCACAAAGACCCATGTGGAAATAAATCCGACTTTTTTTGGGGGTTATCCTTGGTAATCTACACATATTCTGCTATGTATAATAATTTATGGAACTATATTTATGTGTACATGTACTTGAATAAACTTACTTATTAACTAACCTCGGTGTTTACAACACAGACTTCTCTTACTGCCAAGTTCCTTCTTTCTTGCTAAATCTATCTTCTCACCAAATATTTATGCAAGATTCAGTAAACAAGCTTCACTAACAGGATCCATTGATGCTGGTCAGTGTCTCTTGATCCAATCAGCTGGAGCTATCTTCACCTTTTTTGAATCCGACCTGATTACCACCTTTTTCCTTAGTGTTGTAGGCCCCTACGGTTTTAACGTTCCCATTAATAATAAGAATTTTAATAATAATAATACTTATTATAACTAATACAATGGGGCTCTTTTTTTTTTACTCTATTCCAATACTGTCTCAGGAATTTATTATTAAAATTAAAGGTACTGTATATCTGTGGACTGTTTATATTTTTCTTTTACACAATTTTTGCAGGCTATTACCCTATTTCAGCTCATTTCAAAACCCAGCCCTATCTGAGATAAATCACCATCCCCAGGATGCCACCCACACATGTCGACTAACACCCAGGTACCTATTTACTGCTAGGTGAACAGGGACAGCAGGTGTAAGGAAACGCCCAGCGTTTCCACTCTTACCTGGGGTATACCTGGAGGGTATTCCGCGGATCAACGCCCCTGCGGACCGATCTGTGACCAGGCCTCGTGGTGGATCAGGGCCTGATCAGTCAGGCTGTTACTGTTGGCTGCACGTAAACCTAGTCAAATCAAATCAAGTTTATTCTCTATAAAGATTACAATGTGGGGTTTACATATTATAGGATATTGTGTAGTTTACATATATGAAACTAATTACAGAGAGGGCCACTATCACACCTAGCATGACTAGGCTAGGTGTGACAAAACCATTCACAAAACTTCCAGGCCATGGGAAAACCTGGGTAGCCACAGCCACTCAAGAGGGAGAGGTTTTTTAGTGTCAGGAAGGAAAAAAAACTGGCAGGATATGGCAGAAATCGTACACCAAATCCAGTCATTCCTGGAGTGGAACCACAGTCGATGGCCTCCACTCCAAACCAACAGATACAGATACTAATGCCGGAAAAAAAATCCCCCCCCAGTACCAACAATACCACCAGTCCGATAACATTCTTCTTTGCAAATATACAGGGTCTAAAGCCAGCAACAAACAACAAAATACCTTTCATCCGTGGACTGCTTGCAGAGGCAAAGGCAATGTTCGCGGCTTTCACTGAGACCCTCATAAAGGATCACTTGGACAACGAAATATGGATCCCGGGTTTTACAACCTATACAGATGTGACAGAGTAAACAGGCAAAAGGAAGGGGGGTTTGGCCTGTACATTGCAGAGTCACTTGTTTGCACAGAACTGCTAAATGCCTCAAATGATGTAGTGGAAGTTTTAGCAGAAAAGGTCGAGAACCAAAACCTAGTCATTGTGGTAGTCTAACAAGCCTCCGGATGCAACATCCCACAATTCCAGGAACACCCTTTTAAAAAAATGACCACTGTCTGGAAAATCTTCCAGCTCCTGCACCCAACATCTTGCTCCTGGGGATTTAAAACTTAAGGCACCTAAAATGGAGGAATATAGCAAATAATATTGTTGCAGTAATAACACCAGGGGGCAGCTCTGATGAAAACTCACACTCCACGCGAGCTTTTAAAAACTCTGCACAAAATTCAATTTAAACCAGCAAATAATAAGCCTACTAGACTGGAGAATACACTAACCTCATCTTCACTAACAATGATGATCTGATAAGAAATGTCACCATATCAAAAACAATATACTCAGATCACAACATAATTGAGGTTCAGTCATGTATGCGCGGAGCCCCAGACCGACATAAGGAGATTAGTCACGAGGAAGCATTCACCAAATCAACTTCAATAACAAAAACATAAAGTGGGACCAAGTAAACAAAGTCCTAACCGATATAAGCTGGGAAGATATACTAAGCAACACAGACCCCAACTTATGCCTAGAACAGATTAACTCGGTGGCACTCGATGTATGCACAAGGCTTATTCCTCTAAGAAAAAGGAGGAGTAGATGAAAAATAGAAAGAGACAGGCGCTCCCTTTACAGGCGACGGAAAAGAATAACAGAGCGGCTAAAAGAGGTCAATATATCTGAAATGCGTAGGGAGACACTGGGGCAGAGAAATAGCAAGCATCGAACTTAAGCTAAAAGAATCCTTTAGGAGTCAGGAATCGCGGGAAGAACTAAAAGCCATAAATGAAATCGAAAGAAACCCAAAGTATTTCTTCTCCTATGCCAAATCAAAATCGAGAACAACGTCCAGTATTGGGCCCCTACTTAAACAAGATGGGTCCTACACAGATGACAGCAAGGAAATGAGTGAGCTATTCAAGTCCCAATATGACTCAGTTTTTAGCAAGCCGCTAACCAGACTGAGAGTCGAAGATCAAAATGAATTTTTTATGAGAGCCACAAAATTTGATTAACACAAGCCTATCCGATGTTTTTCCTGACGCCAAATGACTTCGAACAGGGGATAAATGACATGCCCATGCACTCTGCCCCAGGGCCAGACTCATGGAACTCTGTGTTCATCAAGAACTGCAAGAAGCCCTATCACGAGCCTTTTCCATCCTATGGAGAGGGAGCATGGACACGGGGTCGTCCCACAGTTACTAAAAACGACATAGCCCCACTCCACAAAGGGGGCAGTAAAGCAACAGCAAAGAACTACAGACCAATAGCACTAACATCCCATATCATAAAAATCTTTGAAAGGGTCCTAAGAAGCAAGATCACCACCCATCTAGAAACCCATCAGTTACACAACCCAGGGCAACATGGGTTTAGAACAGGTCGCTCCTGTCTGTCTCAACTATTGGGTCACTACGACAAGGTCCTAAATGCACTAGAAGACAAAAAGAATGCAGATGTAATATATACAGACTTTGCAAAAGCCTTCGACAAGTGTGACCCTGGCGTAATAGCGCACAAAATGCGTGCTAAAGGAATAACAGGAAAAGTCGGTCGATGAATCTATAATTTTTCCCCACTAACAGAACACAGAGAGTAGTCGCCAACAGAGTAAAGTCCGAGGCAGCTACGGTGAAAAGCTCTGTTCCACAAGGCACAGTACTCGCTCCCATCTTTTTCCTCATCCTCATATCCGACATAGACAAGGATGTCAGCCACAGCACCGTGTCTTCCTTTGCAGATGACACCCGAATCTGCATGACAGTGTCTCCATTGCAGACACTGCAAAGCTCCAGGCGGACATCAACCAATCTTTCAGTGGGCTGCAGAAAACAATATGAAGTTCAACGATGAGAAATTTCAATTACTCAGATATGGTAAACATGAGGAAATTAAATCTTCATCAGAGTACAAAACAAATTCTGGCCACAAAATAGAGCGAAACACCAACGTCAAAGACCTGGAGTGATCATGTCGGAGGATCTCACCTTCAAGGACC